ATCATTTTTAAATTTACATGCTCCAGCCCCCCCCCCCCCCCCCCCCCAAAAAAGAAAAAGAAGCCGTACAGTGTGAGTGTGGAGTATTAATCCGCAATTTTCTAAAGTCAGAACCTATGAAAGCTGGCCAAAATATTATCTTGGTACTATTGAATTAAAGATAATGTGAAGATGGTTTTAGCTCTGTAAGTGATGTTAAATGCACAAGACCAAAAACAGACCCAGATTGAATAACTTGGACGGTATAAAACCTCTGCTCTCCCCCTCATGTTCCAGGCTAATTACTCATAACCCCAGTACAAGAGAAATGCAGGCGTCAGTTGGCTCACTTGGTACTTGGAAGACTGCACAGAGAAACTGACATGATTTTAATTATTTGAAATACAAAAGTTGAATGCTAGCAGGATGTGCTGGATGTTCCCAATAACTCCCACAGTAGCAATTTGGCAAGTTGAACATGTTTTATTTTTGCTTTGAGGGCTGAGGATATGACAGCACAATAAGGCTAAACTTTCTGTGTATTTGTTGTTGGCTTTTCATATCATATTCATATCAGTGGATGTACAACTTTCGCAGTTAAGGTTTGTTAATTTGTAGCACAGTACCGGTAAGATCAGTGAAGGTTTAATGAAGGTTCATTCTGTTTTCTTCAACAAAGAAGAAAATAATTTATGATTTAAACATACAAATAAAGATATATATTTTCCTATAGTTAATGTAATTGCCTGGATATTTTGTCTTCTATCTTTACAGGACTTTTCCCTGCTGTGTTGAATCTGGCTACGATGGCAGACATAACAACGAATGCTACCTGCGGTGCAAATGGTCCGGAGATGTTCTGTAAAATGGTGGAGCATGTTCCAGGTCAACCTGTAAGAAATCCCCAATGTCGAATTTGCAACCAAAGGAGTCTAAACCCGTTAGGTAAGGGGGCGGGGGGGGGGGGGGGGGGGGATGCATGTACACGATTGACTCGTTCTGGGTGATAAGGAAAATTAATCAGGCATATAATTATGACACTTACTGAATTATTGACCATATGTAAACTGATTGTTTTGTCTGAATTGATTATATTTAGAATGAGCAGAGGAATCAATTGCAAAATGACAAGATGGCAATGCAAAATTAGCCTGAAGTCATAATTCAAACAGTCCACACTGTCATGAGAACAACAATCAATTAACCACACTGCCAGTTCTAGAACCAAACACCCTGTTGTTTGTCAGTATACCAGTGAGCCACTGACTATATCCAGTGATTTGCTGGCCTGTAAGTCACTAAGTCTACTTGTGTAACACTTATCCAACCAGAAAGATTGTAAGCATTGTGGACATGAAACAACAGGAAGGCAGTTAGAATATTCTTGGATTCTTTGCTTACCTGGGGACTTTGATCTTTTTCACTTTAGTTTTATGTTATGAAACTGTGTGCTTTTTGTTGTGTTCTTTATCCTGTTCTGTCGTTTGTGGTGTTTTCTGCTGTCAGCCCTCCACACTTTCGTTTTGTTTGTCATTACTCTCATCACTTTGTACATTTTGTTGCTCTTCCTATTCCTCTTCTGGTTCTTGTCATTCAAACTTTTAACACAGTGTTCTTGCCATATTGGAGGGGAGAGGCATCTTTGTGCAGCTGCCTCTCTTCCCCTTCACTTATTCACCTCAAAGAGGCTTAGCCCTGTACCACTGTATGTTTACAAGAAGCAATATGGCATTGCAGAGCTAAGTGGGTGACAGTGCTGTTGGTAAGCATTGCAGCTCAAAGGTGCTGCTTTCATGCCATTAATGTATTGTGTTAAAAGTTTTATTGCACCGCCTCTTTTTGGTTTTTACTTTTGTTCCATAAGATCTTCCTTTGTTCATTCACAATTGGAAACAGTATTTGTCCTCAAGTGGGTCAATGACTTTGACACTTTTGATGTTTGTAAAATGTTTAGAAAGTTTTTATGTAAATGCTTTCTTGCCCGCAGTTAGATATGAGGATTCATATCTGTCACTAACGATGCGACTGACACTGTTAATTAACTGCAAGCCTCGTTCTTCTTTTACAACACGAGGCCGAGCAAGAACTTTCCCACTGATGAGTTAACAGATTTGCTGGCAAACCCTGTTATGATATGTTTTTAGATAGTGTTTCACTATTTTTAACATCAATTATTTACTTGGTTTCTGAGAATTCAGCTTTCTCCGGCTTAGCAGGAGATAGACATATAGATGAGGGAGGATGTTGTTAAAAGAAAGGGGAAGAGGGGAAAACAAACATCACTTTTACCAAAGCAGATATTTATTTAGCTAGAGATTGTTGCTATGGCTTTTAGCAAAAATGTAACACTTTAGTTGCCAGATGATTGACAAATGGCAGTCAGTTTGAATTGCACAATCTTTCTGAATAGTCTATTTGCAGACATGAGCACCCAGACTATCCACACAGCATACATTATAACTGCATTGGGACTTTTTCCATGTATTAAATGATAACATATTTTATCTGCCCTCCCCATTAAAGCAGTTGCATGGAGCTGTAACCTCACAGTGACTTTCATTGGGTAAATAGGTTGACATTTTCTTCTAGTGAAATAAAATTGTGAAAGATGGATGGGACTGTATTAGTATTTAAATTGTATTTCAAAGGTAAAAGACTGTGCCTGTGATATCTGGGACTGAATGGTTGAAATATCAAAGTGGAGAAAATGGTAAAGTTTAACAATTTAGGTTAGAACAATGCTGAATTCATGACATAACTGACACTTTGTTTTTTTAAGTTAAAACGTCTGGATGTCTTTGTCTGTGTGCAGAACATCATCCTATAGAATATGCAAATGATGGAACCAATCGTTGGTGGCAAAGTCCCTCTATCATGAATGGCATGGAGTACCACTATGTGACAATTACCCTGGATTTAAAACAGGTAAAGAAACACTCCTAACTTTATCACTTTATTTGATGTATAATTCTAACATCCCCTATTTTCTTTTTTCATCAATACAAAAATGGTCTCTTTTTTAAAGCAAATAAACATTGCTGAGCAAAATAATAAGTACAACAATCACTTATATATGTTTGGAAAACAATAAATCTCTAAAATTATAAAGATGTCATGAAAATAAAACTAATGAGGCATCGGGATTTGATTTACAAGAAATCTTGGTTCATTTAGAGAGGGTTGTTTAAAGTTGCGTTTGAGGTGGAAAACAGATTTTTAGCGGGTTGATGAAAAAACTCCTAGGAAGTGTCACTACATCGTAGCATATTTTTGATGTTTAAATAAATGTAACCACAAAAATTGTAAACCAATAAAAAAATATCTTTCTTAAATGAAAAGTTGAAATGGTATTTGTTATCTCTAGTGCCTTCTAGCTTTTTTCAAATATTTTTAATAAGATGTATGTTTTATTCATATAAATTACAACATCCTGAGAAACTGAAAAATTGCAAGAGTGAAACTTATGAGTTCTTTTTTTCATTATTTGCCAACCATTTGCACAGAATGTGATTATCCCTCTGAACAGGAAGTAAAACTGCAACCATCCTGACATCTTAATGAGTTTAAGCCCATCAATCACACCATTCGTCGATGTGTTGCTGCTGAATAAATGAACACCATTAAATTGTATTGCAGTATACATAGACATATTTTCACACCTGCCTGAGGAGTGATACGGCCAGTGAATACATCATCATACTTGCTGAGTTTCTGCTGGGCACAACAGGTAATGTGCACACGCAGAAATAGCTTTCGCCAGTGACAAATACCATAAACATTAAGATTGAATTGAAAAACAAGGTTTATAGAAAAAATCCTTTTGTGTTTACTGGTCTTCATGAACCATCGCACAGATGTTGATCTGGTACTCATGTGTACCTTTTTTTAAATTCTCTATTCTTATCTGTCTGTTATAATTTCACAAACATTACCGAAAGGACATTTGTGAATACAGGAGTATTGAGTTTGAAGAAGTGGCCTTAGTCAGCTGATATTTATTTATTTTTTTAAATTTTGGTTTTAGTAACGATATACCCCAACATCTGCATCGACCGGACTATATTCGCAGTACTTTTAACGTCTGAGTACATTTGCGTAGCTGTTTTTTTTTGTTGTTTCCTTGTGGTTCAGTCTACTGGATAGCTATTCACCCTGCAGGGCACCAAATTTCCCTTGTGACCAAAGTCATCTCACTCAGAAAATGACAGAGGCCTTGTGTGTTTGCACGCGTTTAAGTGTGTCTTTTATCGCCATTGACATCACCACACTCATTTCCTCCCTTGTTATTGTTGAGCCTCGCTGGACAGAAAGCCCAAATAATGAGAAAGAGTAGGAGCGGAGGGGCCTTGTGTGTCAGTGTACGAAAGGAGTGGTTGATGTCTGCGTGTGTTATTTATCATCTCTTTTTGGATAAAATCTTGAACTGTAATTGTGCATATAGATTCATATGACTTGACAAACCTCTAGAAAGCTCTCTTCAGAGAGCACAGTGAATCGTGTCTCATTTGATGAAAATTGAGTTTGAAACTGAATAAGTTTGACTTATTACTAAAGTTTAATGTAAAGATCTCTACAAACACTTCCGTTTGGCATCTTGTTATGCATCTGGTCATTCGAGTGCATCTAAAATGCGTCAACTGTTGGGTTGATGCTGATATTTATATTATCAATTCAGATAAGAGTTCTGCAGCAAATATATTAAGACTCTGATAAACTAAGGACTTTACAGTAAAAGGCTGAAATTATCCATGGCAACAATATCTTGCCAACTTCAGACAAGATGATTTTAAACTGCAGTTACTATGGAAATGAAGCGGTCATTTTGATGGATAGACAGCTGCCAAAGCGTGCACTGCCTCTGCTCTCTGGGGAGGATGGGACAATCAAGGCTGCCACTCAAAGTGTTTTTTATTTAATGCACACATTTTACACTTAAAGGATCTGACGACATCACATTCATTTTTATGACTTTTAATTACTGTATTATTTACGACTTGTGAATACAGTTTTCTAACTCTACATACATCTACATGAAAGTTTTTAGATTTGTGACAAAAATCAATAAGAAACACAGTTACAGTACCATATTCTTTTGTTTTACATGCAATTAGGAAGATGTGAAACAGTTTCAGCCTGGAGTCCATTAGATCTAACACATGCGTAGAAGATAGTAGAATAGCAATTTCAGGAAAAATATTTTGTGTGATAATGATACCCTATATTTCTCATACTGCTTTACTTGTTTGTAATTTTGTTTGGAGGTCTAATGGAGGAGTGTTTACTGCTGTAATGTTCAGAAAACACATGAGGGTGTGTCAACATAGTTTCTTCTTTCTTTGAGAAGGATGCATCCCAGGGCTTCTTCATAAAAGCATTCCCACTCACACAATTGTTGATCTCTCAAAACCCAACACAGCAGCAATTCATCCAGTGATGCACGCAAAACTCTCACAATGACTTTTTAGTGATTTTCCATTACAGATAGGCTCTTCTGTCTTTGTTTTTCTGGATTCTATTTGAGATGTGAGAGTATAAGTCAAGACAGGCAAACATGGCCTGAACCATCTAGCCCTCCCCCCATTTTATTGGTTGCCAGGGTGACAAATTCTACCCATTTGATTGGTTTCCTTGAAATTGGCCACAGGCACAACACCAATTCACTTCTAAAAGGAATTTCACCTGGATGTGCTTGGAGTAGAGGAGTAAAATAGGTGTGGTCCTCTGAAAGAGATGTTGCTCCTTCTGTCCTGGACATGCTCCTCTAAACATAATAACAAACATTACATAACTCATAACCGAGACAACATTAACTAAACAAGAACAGATTAAAACAAGCGTTGTAGAGATAAGCTTATTTTGCTAATAATGTGTTTCTCCCAGCAACCCAAGCTGCAATACTCAGAACTGACATTTGTCTCTTTAAGTACCTCTATCTTGGAAAGACCAGCATGCTTTAATTGGTCCGGTTCATGGCTGAAAAAGATCCAAGATGGCTTCATTTTCTTTGTGAGAGAGGTGAAAAATGAGCATTAAGCACATGCATTTCATGTAGATGTAGTTACATAAGAAAAGTCTGAACTGGCTTTGTAATGCAATGAACATCAACCCAAGTTAATTGTCTATGTTTTTAATATAACAATTACAATAAACGTAGAAATAGTCAAAGTACTTGTAGTGCCAGGAAAACAATCTTCACTCATAACTGAGACAACATTAACTAACCATCTGCTGTACCCAGTGAAACTTTGTTGGTTTAATGTCTGACAGTAGCCTGTGCCAAAACGAGAATGTGGGAGAGATTGCAGCATCTGGTGTTATGTGTAGACTAAAAACTATTTAAAAGCATTAAGCCAAATTACAAACCAGTCTGTAAAGGCTTGGGTAAGCGTACATGTGTTTCCTTTGTGTATGCAAATGTCTTTTAGGCAGTTCAAATTGACAAGCAGGGTTAGAAAACAGTGAGAAAACAGATTTCTAATGTTTTTTTACCCTTCCCGTTTTTCTATAGGGAAATATGGCCCACTATAGCTAAAGATATTTTTTCATTTAGGTCAAAACCCAGCAGATGTTAATTTTCCTTTCTTTTGTCCAGATTGCCTTTTTATGATTTGTCAAATATGATGATATGCCGAGATATAATCATTTATGATACATCTGCTTTCAATATATCTCAAACTGTTTTTGTGGCAGCTCAATGGAAAAGGTTTGCAGTGAAATGGCTCAGCTGAGTATCTTCTGCTTGTTTTCCTGTATTTAGTCTGGCAGTGGGCAGAGATGCTGGATGACTCACATTATAGTGAAGTGGGCCAACAGATACTTTATTAGTCCAGTGAGATGTTAACACATTTTCATTTGAAGTGATGATAAATTTTAACGAGTCTGCATACCAGTTCTGTTAGCCTGACAAAATGTCCACCTGTGTTACTGATTGAATCCTAAATCCCCACTTTTATAGATTTGGTTGTTGTTTTTACTCTGTTTTGATTGTCTCCTACTTTGGTCTCTCTTTTGTTCTCTCATGAACAAATTGTGCTAGAATGTACGATCTAGAGACTTTACTTGATGCCAATTAATTGAGCCAGAGAGAATTTTACCACGTTTCCATGTGAATGACCCATAAACACCAGCTGTTCAGTAAAACCTCTGTAACTGTGTCCAAAGCGTACTGAGACAAAATGGATTCCTCCATCTGTATAATTGTAAGCAACAAAACCATTCCAGAAAAAGACCTTAAATGGACTAATTTAGCATAACAATAAAGTACTCCTATTGCTTTTTATGTTCAAATATCCACTGAAAGGCATGCATAGGTATGTAATAACTATTACAATTAAGTTTGTACGATTGAAGGATCTCAATTAATTGATGTTGAAATTTGCAAAAACATACGATTTAAAGAACAACGTGCGATGGAAGCATGTAATTTAAGAAGATATATTTAATTTTGTTTTATTTTTAGTGAACAGTCTGCCTCTACTTTTCTTAAGTATGAAATCTGAAGAAGTTTGACATAAAATCATCAATTTGATGCCAGGTTTATTTAAGAAATTTGGAATTATTCATCAGTAGGAAAACAAAGTGCAGATTAGGTTGTCATCTGGGAAATAACGAGTCACTGAGTTTTCTTATTTTTTGGTTCTTTCATGAGAATACTTTAAATTCTAACTAAGCTCGTTTAGAGCCTGCAGATATCATCTCTTTTGAGACAGAACTTGGGCTCAAAAGAGAGGGAAAAAATATGTGATGCTTTTTACTTTCCAATCTTTGTTCATTTACCAATTCACTAACTGAGCTTTCATAAACATGTTTTTCACATATTTAGTCTCATTTATAATTATTCAGCCAGAAATTAGTAATATATTTTTGTGTTTATAATAAGGACCCAATAGCCCCCCATTATCTTTGTCACTCAACTCTGCCTCTTATTGCAACTTTGTCCCACAAAATAACTTACCTAATGGTTTATGACATCAAAGTTAAGCATATAAGTTGTAGGTTTAACGCAATGGTCAAAGTCACTCATTTAAGATACTGAATAGCGTGATCCTTATTGTTTAGCAACACAGTATTTTTTGAGCTTTCAAGCCATAGTACACGTTGTGCCTTCTAAAGTCACAGCTACTTTTTCTAAAAGCTCTCCACAACTGCTGTTAATTGTTGCTCTGAGGTTTTGCTTTTAATATGCTGTGTTTGGCTTTCAAGTGCCAGGATAACTGGCAAGGGTGGCATCAACACAAACTTTATACAACATGAAACATGCAGCTGTAAATGCTCAGTGGCCTCTTAAGAAAGACAATGTCAGTTCTCCTTCCCTGCAATATTGTCAGTATGAAGGAGCAAATTAAGGATATAGCATGTATAACTGAAAACATATATCCATAATGACTTAGATTTGACAAATAATTCATCCCAAAAAAGAACGATGATCAGTGTTCAAGTGTTGACACGCTGCTCTTTGAGCTTGTATATCTTCCAATATAAAAGAAGATGCATTGAAAAAACACAAGTAAAGATTTCAGAGGAATGTGAATTTTGCCAATTAAATTCTATACCGACATGATCCCAACTTGAAATAGCTACCTGAAATTCAATGTCATGAGTTTTTTGGCAGCTGTGTGATATTTTCACAAGACAGTTATTTGTGTATTTATTGGTTGAGTTTTAAAGGGGAAAAAGCTCTCCTCTGATCCACATGTGATCAAAACACAGAGTATGACACACTGTAATCCGACACACACATCACATATCAGTGCGTTAGTTAGCTGTGTTTATCTATGTTTAACTGCTGGAGTTCCCTGACTCGTCCAAAGTTTTCACCAAATTACATGCAACTGTTGAAAGCTCACACACCTCCAACACACACACACATACACCACCCTGTCCCGAGCATCAACGCAGGTAACAGTGACTCTTTGTTGTGTTATTGAATGACTGCTATAAGGTTACCCCTAAAAGATACTTGCTCACCCACTCACACACACAGACTTGGTGGCTTTCTCCCTATTCTAATTGCTGCAATGTGACACTGCTTCCCACATCATGAGAAGAAAGAAAGATGTGCTCATGGGGGGAAAAAAAGTATGGGAGAGAAAGACAGGGAACTGAGGAGAGATGGCAGAGACAGGATGCCCACGTTTGACCCAATCTAATCTTTCCACTAATATCTACCTACCTCCCTTTCTAAGGGCCTGTCCTTTGTTTGTTCATCTTTTTTTTATGCTTTAACAAAAACATGTTAAATAAGCAAACATATTGCACATTTTTTAAGTTTTGCCAGGACACTGCTTTTAAGGGTTTGTCATTTCAAATGGACAAACAAGCATTATCCTCAGTTGCTAGTGAATAATTTGCCTCTCTGTTGTGTTTAACAGGTATTTCAGATTGCTTATGTGATCATAAAGGCTGCAAACTCACCACGTCCAGGTATGCATTCTGTTTTGTACTCTATGTTTAGATGGTTCCATAGTGTTTCAGGTCTTAAACATAACCGCCTTGATTATTGAATGAAGCCAAAAGTATGTGATTAAGTGCAGGTTTTTTGCTATTCTCCTGTGAGCAGCTAAATCCACTAATAACATACTTCAGAGCAAATGATCCTCCCCCAGAGAAATCTGCAGTGAAAGATTAATACTCCATTAAATGATTAGCATTTTCACGTCAGTGTTTAATAATGTCACTGTGCAGATGTTTTAGATAAATAATTCAAAACATCAACAGTTCTTAGTCACAGTCGAGGGCCTTTATGGATTCCTTCTAAATAAGCACCTTCAGCTTTTATAAAATGAACAGTTAAAAAACAGCACAAACCCTGTTCCTATAAAGAAAACGAAAAGAGTAAGCTTCATAAGTATAGACTATGTGTCAAATTACTTTTATTGCCCATCCTATTATCTTTCAAACCACGTTACAATAGTGAAAGCTGTACAGCATTTATGACAATTAGATTCACCTCATTCTTTGTATCTTCCCTAACGTTTTCTATTTTACTTCTAACTTCTTTGAGACAAATTTGTGCAAATATCAATAAAGGCAGACAAGCCGTTGCCAGATCAGTCTGACTGAAGGAAAAACCTACATATGCCACTGTCGTGAATATGCGACCAGTTTAACTGCACAGCGAGACAGTTTTTTTCGCCAACTGATATAAGTGATATAAAAAACATCTCAAGACTTAAAAAACGGAAAATATAGTGTAAAACTGTCACAAAAATATAAACGTACCAAGCGATAGTTACTGTGTATTAGCCCATCTGAATGTAAAGTTCATAATTACCCAAGTACAGCAACAGTTATTTATACTTAAGAACTAATCAAACCTATTTTAATCAAGAAATGCAAACGCCATGTCTCAGAATCATATTGTTTTGATCACTGTAACAGATCACTGAAAAGTTTCATTAAGGTTAATTATTCCTATTTGTTGTTGAGAGTTAAGATGTTCAGCTGAAGGTACTTAGATAAGAATCAAGAAACAATCTTATGAAATGTGGGTCTATTGATAAATTGTACTTTGCTCAAATTTTAAAGACTGCTCTTTCAGTTTATTAAGGCGATTGTGTGTTAAGAACATTTTGACAACAGTAACATCTGTTCAAATATACCCCATTTAAAGCTGAACCTTCTACTAACTCTATTGAAATTCCATGCAATCAGTCAAAAAGCATGAATATTGTAGGTTGCCCCATGTTTTTGACAATTATGGAAATAAATTCTTTGTCAATTTTCTATGTATATTAAGCAGTGTGACCTCAGCTTCATTTCCATTGATTTGCTCTCATCTTTACATCACTGATTTGACGCTTTTTCATCATTAATATTTTTGTCCACAGGTAATTGGATCTTGGAGCGTTCGATAGATGGAGTGACTTTTGAGCCTTGGCAGTACTATGCCATCACAGACACAGAGTGCCTGACAAGGTTCAACATATATCCACGGACCGGACCCCCATCCTACACCAGAGATGATGAAGTAATCTGTACATCCTTTTATTCAAAGATTCATCCGTTGGAAAATGGAGAGGTAAAACTTTATGTTTGTACAAACTGGTAATCATAAATTGACCTCTGACCAGTGTATCTAAAGACTTGTTTATGGTCTGATAATTTGTCTTCCATGTTATACCTAGCATTGCAAATGTGTAATGAATGTGTAATCTGTAAATGTGTTCATGCACAAAAAGCATATCTTGTTCCATGATTCATTTGGAGAACCATATGCTACCATCCATACTTGTCATCCTCTGAAAACATTTGCCGCATTATGTAAAGGCCTCTGACAAAGAAGGCCTTGAACCATTGGGCTGCCGAGATAGCTTCAAGCAAGCATGGGAAAATATTCTGTTCTGTAAACTATGGCTTTTGTTCCCAAATGCTAACAGTGTGTTTTTAAAAGACAAGCTGAGGCAACAGAGTAGTAAACATGCGCCTGTCTTTTTTCAAATTCACATATGCTACATCAGATTTAAAGAACATTTTGCAAATGTCTTTTTCTTTGTAATTTCTTCCCTCTAACATTAATTAGAGAATTATAGTTTTCATCCTTTGGGATTCTGCTTGATTCTTTGTTTAATTGAGACTGTTAAGAACATTACATATAAATATTGTCTCAAAAGAGCAAGGAAGAAGCTAAATAAAAAGCAGACAGAGATTACAAATATGTTTTAAGGACAAAAAAAAGCTCTGTGTTACATGATAATCTGGACAGAGGATTGATCTGATGCGCTGTTGGCTGATTAGGAATCAGGGTTGGATGTGCTGATTGTTGAATGTTTACAGCTGTTTCATGAGATCATTAAGAAACCATGGCAGGAAGGTTTTTGTTTGTTTTTTTGTTTAAGCACAAACTCAAAGTGTGTATGAACACAATGTTTACCAATGCTTTGATCAGCTGTGTGATTGCATCCAGTTAGAAAAGTACAGCAAGCCTGCTTCGAGTGAAGGCAAAAAGAACTGCAGAGCACGCAAACACACACAAACAACAGAGAAAGCAAGCTAATCCCACATTTCCTTCTCCCACACAGAACTCTAATTGTTGATGCTTCTTTGAGTGTGTGGATGCATTTACATTGGAGCTGGTGTGTGCTCACATGTGTGCACAGTGTGTTTGTACTGTATGTGCTTGTGTCCTGCGGGGGAGCGCTGGGGGGGGGGGGGGGGGGGGGGGGGGGGGTTGCGAGTTGGGAGATGTCAAGAGTTGCAAGTAACAACGGAGGTGTCTGAATGTGTGTGTGTGCACGTACAGTGCATGTGTGCGGTTGACAGCTCCCTAGCCGTCTGATCACAGTGAAACCATAATGAGTCGTAGGCGATGTGTCAGAGCCTTGCACACACATTCGCAATGTCACCCCACTTCTCATCGCACACGCGGGAGCACGCACGCACACACAGCCACCTCCTTCGTTACTTCCAAATGTGCAGCTTACACCCATCAAGTGCTCCCCCTCGACGCACACACAAGCAGACACACAGGCAGCCCTCTGTGAGACTTTTTTACAGATGCCAAATGTTGCTTTTGGCCACAATGGTGAGACAGACAGATGGACGGTCAGACAGGAAGGAAGTCAGAATCTCACACTTATTATGTGGCTGCATGTCCATTATTAGCGATGCATGTTAGAAACTGAGGCATCTTCTTCTGATCTGCTTTCACTGTTGGTCCACGTTCAAACAGCATTAGGTCAGGGGTTGCAGTCTACTTGGGAAAAAAACAACGTTGGAGAGATGTAAATGATCATCGTGCCTTGTTTGCTCATTCTGATATTAATAACCATGATTTTTACAGACATAGAAAGGCAATAAATTGTGACATTGACTGGAACTTGGTTCAGGCTAAAAGGAAGTCAGACCTTTTTATCTGAAGGATATGCTGTCTGCACTGTAAGTTGCAAATGTCAGTCTACCTGTTTGGCTTGCTGTGGTGATAATGTGGGTTTCATTAATGATGTAACTCTTTTGGAGGTGTTTGGTGGTGTTAGGGTAAAGGCTACAGTTGAAACTTTTTCACAGCTTTGCCAAAGTCCCTAATTAAGTGTTAACAAACTTTTTTTTTTTTTTTAATTCTACAAATGCGCCAACTAAAAAAAACAACTAAAAAAAACATGCAGATTTTTTTTCCTCGTCCATTCCATCAGGTGGAAATTATTTGAGCATTCCCCGAACAGCACTTCTTCAAAATGCCACAGAGGAACTAGGATTGTTATGTTGAATACGATGCACAATAAAAGGAGAGCTGAGTTGGACATTAGCCTCAAGACTGCTTATGGATTTTTCCTTTAGTTTTCACTGTATGGCAACTGTATTTAGTTTTTTATAGCATTTAGTTCAAATACCATAGTGTAACACCCAGTTGTTATCACTTTTCACCTAGTAAGATCCCCTCCGGGTATTTTTAAGAGCTGATGAAAACACTTAGCCACTTTGTGTGCAATGAAGGCTGCAAATGTTTTGCATCACTGTAGTGCAAGTCGGCTGTTGGACTAGCACTGAATTCCAAGCAAGTTGTGATGTTAAAAATAATTATCTGCACCAACACGCCTTAAACTTCAATTTCAAGTGAGCTCCAAAAAACTCTCCAGCGTCAGCACCAGAATTTCAAAATGGCCCTGTAACTCTCCACTAAAGGTCAAATGTGCAGCAGTAAAGTTCTCTCTGTATAGATACATATCTATATATATTTATAGAGAGAAAAGATTGAAAGAGAGAAAGAGAGAGAGAGAGAGAATGAGAGAGAGGTGTGTTTGTTAGTGTTACACAACCTAGCATCTTCTAGTAAGGGAAAAACATTGCCATTGCCTTGTTTTCATTATTTCTTTATAATATCTACCTTCAAAGTCTATTGTAAATCATTAGCCAGCACACTTTGTGAATTGTAGCTGCATTTACATATCTCCTGGTATATAGTCTACTCTTGGCATCACATTCCCTCTAATGCACTCCATCATTTGCTTTTGATATTGTTATCCATTTTAATCAATCATCCTTTGGCATTTTGTTACATTTTACGGTAGTTTACTCTCGTTTTACACGTCACGATTTAACTGTCCCTCTGTCCATAGATCCACACTTCTCTGATCAATGGTCGGCCGAGCGCAGATGACCCTTCCCCAGCCCTGCTGAATTTCACCTCTGCCCGCTACATCAGGTTGGTGTTTCAGCGAATTCGAACGCTGAACGCCGACCTCATGACTCTGACACATCATGACCCCAAAGATAGTGATCCCATTGTGACCAGAAGGGTGAGCCTCAAGACACAATTCATTTTGTTTCGTTTCTTTTTTTTTAACGATTCAATCCGTCTGAGAAGCTCAAAACTGTAAAAAAAACACACATACACAGTGGTCATCCTGACGTGTTTTGCTCCGTCTTCCTTCCCCCTGTCAGTACTACTACTCCATTAAGGACATCTCAGTTGGAGGAATGTGTATCTGTTACGGCCACGCCAAAGCCTGTCCACTCAATGCACTTACAAAGGTAAAGTTCTTCACTCTATGTTTCTTTAAGTCCAGTAAAGCATAAAATCAGAGTAATGGAGCTTTTCCACTGTGCTAAATGGGAGCAAGACAAACCCTCAGGCCTCAGCTTTTTATCTTTCACTTCACATCAAACTTTCTGAGTGTGTGTGCGCCTGTCTGTAGGGGACACAGGTGACACAATGAGGCATTGTCTCTCGTGTCGCTTCAAAAGGAGGTGTGTTTGATACCAGACATCTGATCTTTCTCTTTTTTATCTGACCGCTCACACATGCACAGCTGTGAGCGGTTTACATGTCCTGAGGCAGGAAAAAGTAGTCCAACTCAGATGTGACACCAGGATCTAGTCCCTCGATGATGATGTCAGTGACAATAAATGATGTCATTGGAGTTTAAAGAGCTCCAGTTTCTACTTTCCCAATTCTCCTCTTCAGATCCAGTGAAGGCCATACAAATTTAGAAATATTTTAACTAAGGGTTATCTATCAGTCACATTCAAACAAAATTCCTCATATAGGTATTTCTATTTGTAGAATTATTTGAGTGCATTCATTGCTTTTATTTTCCAGCTAATTTTTTAAAGATTGCTTATGCCTCAAAAGATGTTACATGTTACTTTAACACGTGTTCAAACAACCCACTTGCTTAAGTTATGGACAGTGGTTTAGAACGCTAAAACAGTAGTTAGATATATGGTGATTTGTCTGCAGAATATTTACTCATATGCATGCTCAGCACACGGGCCGCCCAAAGCTCAAGCTGCCTCTGTGTCTTAGATGAAAGGGTCCACCGGTGCAAACAGATCCAAACTTGGCTCTCACCTTGCAATTGTACTATATTGCTCTCATTTTATCTGGCACCCTCAACACATCAACCTCTTTACACAGAAACTTTAGTTCAGTTTCTGAATCTTTGAGTTGGCAAACACCGTGCTTTGAATACATATGTTTAGTTTTTCATTTAGGCCATGTTACTTTGGATAAACAGTTTAAAAAACAAATATCAGTTCAGATCAGAATGCTGAAATTTAGTAGGTGGCAAGTTTTCTTTCACCTCTTTCTTGACAACAACCCCATAAATGTTAAGTGGGATCTTTGAACATCTCACTTTTTGGCCCATGAAACATCGTCAGATGTTGTACGCATATATTAAGGAACGCTAGCCAAGTATTCCGTCTGTATGTTGTTTAGGTTTTGGCACATGTTCATTACATAACACATCAGTGTGCATATCGGAAGTGGACTCAGATGCCCCAAACCTGATGACAGGGGGTTCTTGTTTAAGTCTGTGCGGCTGAAAAATCTGCAAAACCTTTGCGTTTTTCTTACGTTTTTATACGTTAATATCTGTGTTTTTAGAAGTTTAGCTGCGAATGTGAACACAACACATGCGGGGAGAGCTGTGATCACTGTTGCCCGGGATACAACCAGCAGCCGTGGATGGCAGGAACCTTCCTCACGCGGCATGTCTGTGAAGGTAAGTAAAAAACATTACATAATTAAACATCACTAATCTATTTGTATGCTCACTATACATCAGATCATCCACAGCATATTCTGTGTATGTAAATAACAGTGTTTATTGTTCTGGTGCATGCTGCCACAAACCATGTGTACAAACATGAGCAGTACTTTCTTTACAGCTTAGCTGAAAGTACCCTACAAAAATGTGCAGCAGTGAAGGGAAATTAAAATGTTGCCAGTCAGTCTAAATCAGTCTTTGTTAGTATTTAAAGCCATCGAAAGTCATCTTTGCATCCATTAACCTTGATCAATGATGCAGCAGTAAAGGGATGAGGTTAGAGGCTGTGATCATAAAACCAAGGCTACACAAGTAATCTCCATTTTATTTCACACAAGCTACACCTTCTGAAAGGCGCTGCACTCATGGCCGCCTGATAACAGCTTGTGCTGCCTTGACATTGACACAACATGACTGGAAAAAGGTCTTCACTGACACAACTGTTAAACAACCAGCCTTGATAGACATAAGCATTCTCAATAGGGCAATAATATCTTATTAACAAACAACTAATGGTAGAATTCACCCCCCCAAATAAAGTGAATATTTTTCTTCTGTTGTGAGATTGTGTCATCTTTATGCAGATAAAAAAAGATAGCTATGCACGAGGAAAAATGTCAGTGCGAACAAAAGCAGAAAGGTATCCAAAGTAAAAAAAGAAACTAAGAAGGGTAGAGATGGTCACAACAACATTTCTAGGTACTGGATCTAGAATGGGCTAAAACTTTGAAAGTTGGATCCATATGAAAGATTCCCTGTGGCCTGAATTTGAAACTGTTTGGGTTTGAGGTTTTGTTTGGGTGAGAGTTCTGTTTCAGGGTTTGTATCAAGATTCTTAATAACTATATTATAGTTGTCTATCTTATGAATTTTAAATAACTTTGGTCAATGTAGCTAACTGCACGCAAGAAATGACAAGACATAGCTGAGTGAAAAGAAAGAGCTTTTTCTCTATTTTATTTGTTTTTTCTGGAGCCCTGAGATAAGGCACCAATTATAGTGTGAGAGCACTGTTTAAAGAGCAGAGAAGGATACATTTCTCAAATTCCATGCAGAAAAACTAAAAGGATTAGGGATGTGTAGCCTTCTGGCTGTATATGATACTGTATAGTAGGTTTAATGTGTTTGTGAAGACCCTACAAATTTGGTTTAAACATCAGTTCAGCTCAGTAATTTTTGCTTTTTGTGTGTGTACATGTTTGTGTGTGCTTGGGTGTGTTTTCAGAGTGTAACTGCCATGGAAAGGCAGAGGAGTGCTACTTTAATCAGACTATAGCTGACCTCTCACTCAGCATGGACATCCACGGTCAATACAGAGGAGGTGGAGTCTGTATTGGCTGCCGTGACAACACAGCTGGAATCAACTGTGAGAGCTGTATTTCTGGGTACTACAGACCTGCAGGGGTATGTCAAATATTCAGCCATCTGTTTCTGTATTTCAAGAAGAAATGGTCCTGATTGAAATACCTGACTTTTCTCACCTCCCAGGTAGGCGCTGATGAAGAGAACCCCTGCATCCCCTGCTCATGTGACCCACATGGTTCTGTCAGGGAAACCTGTGTCGCAGATTCAAGCCAAGCTACTTCCAGTAGGCCCAACTTCTATCTTTTTACTTCCAATCTCTCCTTAGGTCAGTCAACAGACACACAGAATAAATCATTTCAGCTACTCCCACGTGTGTTGCTTAAATGCCATTTTGAATGGTACTTCAAGCAGATAGATTTCCTATTGGCTTGGAGTTTCTGAAGTCCAGCAGCATTCACAGAAGTGTCGGTTGTTTTGTTTGACGGAACTTACCTCTCTATACTTAGTAGGTAGTTTTACTCCTTTGTCTATTTTAGTTGTGTTTGTGTAAGGTGAGTTGAGTTATTTTAAGTGCAGCCACCTCAGATTTATTCTGTTTGTCATTTCATGCACTGTTCTTTAAACTTTGTGTGTCTTTGTGTTTGTGTGTGTGTGTGTTTGTGTGTGTGTGATTGACAGGCCAGCCAGCAGGGTCATGCTGGTGTAAGGAGGGTTTTGGGGGTCTGCGATGTGACAGGTGAGAGACACACATGCACACACACATACTGACAGACACAGACACACAGTGACAGGTGAGCTAAACCTTTCAGCTGTTGTCTGTTCCAATTAGTGTTTAATTCCATTAAGACCTTTGATGATTTTATCACACTCGGAACCGACATGAGGCACACATGCAGGTTCATAAATGGCCAATATGCAGACCTGAGTCGTGTTGTTTTATTTGTTGTTTTGAGCTGCTGTTTCTTTGGCTGCAAATTGGATCGAAAGACTTTAAAGAAAATTTTTGACAAGCTTTAATCTTTAGCAGACCTTATCACAACTTCTGATCTTAAAGAATTGTTTTGTAACAACCTTTGAAACTGTATAAAAAACCTTTAAGAAATTAATAAATGACTTGTTCATTTATGACTATGGTAACCCAAATTCCATTTTATAGCTTAATCTGCTGTGTATGAGTTAATTCATCTCAAAGATTAAACTCTTCCTCTTAAGTTTTTAATGTCCCTACACCACATGGGGAAAGGAACACCTCCCCAAGTTCCTCAAGCCACGACTTACATGACGTGTAATAGAATTGCCTTTACCAGCTGTATATTACAAATATATATTTTTTCGACCTTGGATAAAGATTGTTCTTTGCCAAGAGGTGGCACAGGTGATGGTCAACACAAGATGAGCTTATTATTGTTTCTGAACTCATTTGTCTCCAGGTGTGCTGTTGGTTATAGAGACTACCCTTACTGTCTGCGCTGTAACTGCAGTGTGGAGGGAAGTTCCAACAGTGACCCATGCATAACACCCTGCATATGCAAGGTACACACACTCTTCCATTTTGTGTGCTTGCACATAATGATGAGTACTTTGTGTTAACCTTTCTAGCCTTGTCATCATTATTTTCAGCACATTAACACTGCAATAACATGCCTCATGCTCATAACGTCAGATTGAAGGCAGCTCATAAACCTTCTACATCCTCTTTCTCTCTTTGTCTTTCCTCCATCTTGCTCCCATGCAGGAAAATGTTGAGGGTGAGAACTGCGACCATTGTAAATTTGGATTTTACAATCTGCAACGCGACAACCAACGTGGCTGTGAAAAGTGCTCCTGTATGGGTGTCTCCAGTCAGTGCTCTTCCTCCACATGGACCTATAGGAATGTATGAATTCTCACTCTTAAAATCCAATGATAACATTTGTCAAATACCAGTAATATTTTTATTTATGTTATACTGATATATATACTAGAGTGATAATTTTCTTTCCTGTGACAGCTGCTGATGGCAGACCAGAGAATAAATTATGTACATTTATGTTGCACCAATCTTTACTCGGAAGGAACTAGAGGCCAATTAAGTGGCACATATTGCCCTGAATATTTGGTTGTATGCTCACCCTTATGGTTTTTGCAGGTAAAAAAAAAAATTTGAGCAGGAAGGATTTGATTAAGTCGAATTTCTGCACCTCTCAGATGTGCTTGTAAGGGTTAAGAGGTTTGTTCTGGTTTGTGTGTACTCAAACTTCCAACTTACTTCCAGTATTAGAGGAACTTTGCAATTTTGACATTTGGGAACTTTGAATATTGCACAAGCAGAAACAGAAGAAGCTATCACAGTATTTATGGCACTTGTTTAGAAATGATTTCATATGATTTAGTTCTGCTTTTGGGGATAGTCTGCACTTAAGATGAGATTTTTATTGCTGAGATGCGGAGTAAAAGTCTCCAAACATTACACCAGTTAGTAGGTTTTTGTTCCAAATAATCACAGAGGTACATCTGCAGCTAAGATCAGAGAGCAGAGCTCTTGGTTTGTCTAACAGAGCCAGCTCCAGTGCAGAAATGACACTGCAGTTTACTGCTCCTGCTGCCAAAGAGATGGATGGATATTGTCCATTATTCAGAGGGAATCACAACCCTTTTCCAAGACCTGAACAAGATTGTTGATTGTAGATGTTAAAAGGGGAAATATGGCTCCTGAAACCTCACGAGGTAATAAAGGGATTTCTTGTAAAACACTCATGAGAACACAATTTTATATACAGATCCTCCTCTCTGGAAAGTCATACTCTTCTCGGTTTAAAACTGAGACAGATTACATGCTTATAGTTATTTTAGTAAATTGTAACATGTAGAAAGCAAAACGCCCTCGCTGATAATGTTACCATCATGCTGTTGATAGTGCATTTTGGAGGAATAAAAAAACAAAACAATATTGGTGTCACAAACCAGAAAGGATCCTTCATGTGATAGTTTGAAATTAACACCCAAAATTGTGAAAAGTAAAAGTATATAAAGTGCCAAGATCCTTGTTATGGCCTGTCTAATGTGACTGAAAACTATCACACCATCACCTCCACAACACAGGTGGTACCCGCTGGCTGGAAATTGAATGGCCCTGTTCAGGGAATAGATTTGTACTTGGTTAAGTTATTCCAAAGAAAACATCTAGGTATTGGGTGTATTGTTTGGGCTAAAAAGAAAAGATTTCTAATATTAAATCTAGAATACTAATAAGCCCAGCCCTAATAAGCCCAGAGGTAAAACTTGTCCTTTTACTCAGTTAGCTGCAAATTTGCCAGCTAGTTTTTCCACAAGCCTTATGACAGGACCCGATCAGAGAGGCAACAAGGCATGCTTTGCTAACTGCCGAAAAAAATATAGTTCAGCAAACACTAAAGTCATATCAACATTTAAGTCTAATATTAAGTCTACAAACAATGATGCATGTCACAAAATATACAGCCAAAAGGAGGATGGAGTTCAGGTAAGAGGCAAGGCGAGGAGTAAAAATGACAGGAACAGAGGAGAGTAAAGATTAGAAGTAAGAAGGAGAGTAAAGGGGGGATGCAAGAGGAGTTTTTGACTGACAGGTGAGGTGGGAGAGGAGCAGAGAGGAGAGTCTGACAGGTTGACAGCCCTGATTTAGACACCGATAGTGTGTCTGTGTGTTTGTGTGTGCGAGTTTCCGTGAGTGTGCTTAAAAGGGGAAACCAAGGTTAGGTTAATTGCAATGACACATGTGTGTCTGGTCCTGCTTCATACACGTGCAAACACTCACACACACAAACACACATTCAACCCTTCAGGAGCGAAGAAAAAAATGTCTTCCAAGGTGACAGATGCAAGACTTCCTGGCTGACATGTGATAGATGTACAAAACTGTTAAAAACCCTTTGAATTTTACATATTTTTTAAAGAGGTTCTCATTTTAAAACAGTTCAAAATTTTGAAAATGCCAATACTAACTCGACCCTACACCAATAAACATGGACATGAGGTTTCCTACACTTGACATTTACATAGTGCTTTGGTTTAATTGAAAAACAGCAATAGGTAGTAAAATTTGTCCTTAAGTTAGAGCGTCACAGCTGAAAACACGAGGGACTCGTTGTTTGATTCTTAATAAACTTTGTTACCAAAACCCAATTAAGTTATTCCCTTGAAAAGCATTACTTTAGAAGAAATATAACTTTTTAAGCAAGCAGATTTCTTTGTATTTATGTGTTTATGTTTTTTGTATTTTAATGGACTTTACCAAGACTGACTAAGCAAGGCATTTTAGAGACCGACAAAATGCTCAAAGAAATTCAGTAGATACTCTGTTCGATTTGGAACAAATGGAATTTTGGTTGTAGAAAAATCCATCGGTACCTTCAGTATCATCATAACTATCAGAGATTAGAAAGCCTCTGTAACTTGAACATGACTCACTTAAGTAGTCAAATGCAAATTCTCTCCAAACATTTAGCAAAGTGCTTTTTGCTGACAGTGAAAAACTATGAAAAATATTAAACAAATGTGTGTGTCTTATTGTGTTTTTAGGAGACCACTCTCACAGGCTGGCATCTGGTGGGAGACACAGGAGGAAGGGTGTGGTCTGTGCACCGACAGACACCTCCATTTCTGAGTGTCAGACATTTAGATGTAATGAAAGATCTGGGCCCCGCCTACTACTGGAACGCACCTGGACTATACCTGGGAAACAAGGTTAGTCACAGGAATACATCAGGACGTATTCCCCTGTCAGAGTTCACTACATATTTTGCCTCAAGCTGCATGTGATGCTGTAATCTGTTAAATTGGCACTGCTTTACTTTTTTACAGTCGAATGAAAACACTGAGAGTCAAAGATGTTGATGCTCACGTGATTCCGCATCGTTACGATATACTTGAATACATTCTGTTCATGATCTAGAATATATCACCCGGGTAGATGTGTGGTGAAAATGTATCCTGCCGGGACGCTCACCTCCCTTCTAGCCCTTCTTCTCTCGATTTTCTGTGGCCACGATTAGGCTTTATCACTCCAGCTGGTAAATAGCTGCAGTACACGTTTCTGATGTTGAGTTGTTGCCCTACTACAACAACAGACTGACTGTGATGTTTGTCTGCATGTCGTGGCTTAGAGGAATCTACCACTGAATTTCATTACTTTGCACCCTGCAGGCCTGGCTTGTCATCTCACTTCTTTGTCTAAACCTTTATCCCTCACTCCCTCCCTCTAACTATCCCTCCTTCTTTCATCGGCCTGTTCGTCTAACTCTGACTCCCTCTCTCCAGGACTGCCATTTTTCACCTCCCTGTTCTTAAATCATCTCTCTCTACTTCCCCCTGGCTTTCTTGTCTCCCTCTTTCTCTATCTTTCTCACTTGCTTTGTGTCTCTTGGGGTAAACAGTGTTTCGCCTGTTGAACTCGATAATCAACTGTTTTTCTCTTAGCGCTCACTCACATGCACACACCAAACACGTACCCACACACACTAACACTCACACAGACTCCCAGGTCTATATAAGTCAGATAATGATGTGTTTTGGAGGCATTAGGGACAGCGGAGCAGAACCGCATGCCTCCAAACATGGGAAACAAACAAATTACTGTATGTGTGTGTGTGTATGCATGTGAGTGTGATTTCTAGAAGCAGCGTGCAAGTACTCTATGAAAAAGCAATTCTTTGCTTCAGTCTCTGATCGTGTTACAGAGATAGATGCTCCTTGACTTGATGTGACTCGTTCTCACATACACACACGGGTCTGTCGTGTTAGTGTGTAACATTGGAAGTGACAGCCTGCGCTTGTAATAACAAGCTAGCAGTGGATGTATAAGAGCATAAATGTGTGTGTGTGATAATGCTTTGCACTGCTTGCATGACCTGTATAATTAATTCCGCGGATGCTCATTGGCCCGTTACCCTGCTCTGTGGATGCTCATTGGTCCAGAAGTATGTTCCACTGATGCTCATTGGGGGATGTATTGCCTGTAATGGGACAGGGACTGCTCACTCACGAGGAGGGTCATTATCATTGAAGAGTGCTTTCTTAAAGGGAAATCGGTCCAGACTTTCTGTTTGTTTTGCTGACAGCATGGTGAGATTCGGAACAAAAATCCAAAAATGACCCCAGGATATAAAGTATGGCACCATTTTCTTTAAGTGTTCTGCATGGTTTAAGGTACTTAGGTTACATTCCTAGTTAAAGTCCATATGATAGTCTGGAAATGTGGGTTCACAAAGAAATCTCATACTTAAGTCCTCTTACTTCCTCTTTCTCCTTTTTCTGAATGAGAAATGTTAAATGTTAAAATCCTATTTGGATCATTTGAGCTGGAACTAAATATGCTGATAGTGATGCAGATGGGTAACCTCGTTTTAACTTTTAACAACTGCCAATTGTATCCAACTTGTAAAATTCAGAATTATTTTACTGAAAAACTATGACTAACATAACTCATTTACATTGCATTCAGATTTTGTTTTGGAACGTAGGAACGCTCTTCCTGTTCAAGTGGCTGCCCACTTTTGAACTACCCACTTATGCCTTCACTGTGCACGAGTCATTAATTTCACACACCAGTAGACAGTCAAATAGTCAAATTTCAAAGAACATTTTATGACATCTAGCTTGATAAAAGCTAATAGTTTTGTGTTTGCATATTCGTTTGTATTAGATTAAAATTGACACAGTAATGACATGCTGGTGTCTGCTTTTAGCCTCAAAAATGCATCTACACAGAATATATCGAGTAAATGTTGCCATCTTGCTTTTTAAGCTTGATTCACTACAAGCTGCTGCTGTTGAATTTCAAAGGTTAGCGAGCTGCTGGTGTTATGAACAGTAATTGATTGGCTTCTGGAAAGTGGAAGTAAATGAGTGAACTGCTTTTAGTCATCTGTCAGGATGAGACATGCATACTGAGTTACAGTTCGCCTGCCTCTCGTCTGCCTCTCACCACCAGCAGTAACAATTATCATGTCATAGTCCTGCACATATCCACTTCATAGTGCAACAATTGGGCCTCCTTCCTCTATTTTTGAAGTGGGACTCTATTTGACAGCATGAAAAACTT